AAAAAATAATTATAATATATATTTATATATTTAAAAATTATATGTAAAATTTTTAACACTAGATATTACCCCCACTATTTAAATTTTCTGGATCCGTCACTGGTTATATGTATTTATAATGAAAAAATCAACCCCACGTTGGAGAAATGATTTTAAAAGGAAGAGAAATGAATGCTTATTAATTTTAAATAGAAAATAGAAATTTAATATACATGCCTCAATTGTGTATAGACATGTAGTAAATAAATAGAGGTCAAAAACACAAATAAGAGTAGCTAAATTGATATTGTGCAATGCACGATTTATTTTAGTAAGTTAGGTGGTTTAATATTAATTGACTATATAAATAAAAATTAATGACAATAATAAATATAAAGTATAATAATGTTAAAAATAAGTCAAAAAATAATATTAAAAAATAAATATACACTAACTTGTTATTAAGAATTATTGATTTTCTTTTGTAAAAAAACATTAAAACCCATTTTTAAATCTTCATTTTCACTATCAATAAGTAAAATTTTAATTCACTCTTTGATATAAATTTTGAAATTGTTACATACAGTTGACTATGAGAAAAAAACTGATTTTGAAAGATACATTCAAACATGTTTTAAAGATTAACTTTGACTCTTGTTAATAGTCATTACGAACAAAACAACTAATAAAAATTGTCTTTGTTGAAATTTGAATAGAATACTAGCATCTGAAGGGGTTAATGATAACCTAGGTATCTTTAATACCAATTTGACTATTTGATGTGACTTTTCTTAATTTTATAATTATTAATTATGACTTTGATATTTACAAAACTGATAATTGATTACACATTTAAAATTGTTTATTCTTTGTTCAACTTGGGAACTGATTAATATCATAATAGGTTTACCTTTTTATTGTGGTTATTTTTTGTGTGTGATGATAATAGATAAGTTATTTCAACTTTTATTAGTTATTAAGAATAAGACAAAAATAATGTTAAAAAATAAATATACACTATCTTGTTGTTATAACTCTCCAAATAACAAGACTAAAAATTGAAAGCAATTACAAAGATTACTAATTGAATCAGAAATAACTTAAAAGAGATAAATTCTTAATGCAATGATAAGAGAAAAAGAATCCCTAACAAAAGCTTCAATGTCACATCCTATCAAAATGATCCTAGTATAAAACTCAAATTTCTCCATAATTAATTTCATCTGCATAAACACACCAAAGCAAGACAATAAAGAAAAAGGGAAGAAAAAAACATTTCACTCTAACTACCAGTGGAGGAAATGACCAGGTGGCCATACACATACAATAACATAATATATGTATAGCATACATGTGATTCAAAAATAATAATTTCATTTAAAGAAATCAAAACAATAATCACTCATTCACATTCTATCACATCACATCTCATCATATATCAATGTCACAATTTAAACACAATTCGTATGTTATGTTCATCTAAGGATAAGACTCTCCTATCTACATGTATGTGGCGCCAATAAAACACTTTATCCTTACCCGAAGGCTGAGTAACCTAAGAGTTCGTGTCAAGTCAAGTCATCAAAACACTCTATACTAGGAGAAAATATACTAGTGGCGCGTCAGGATAATTATGTTGGTCAAGTTTCACCCCATGCACACAAAGTGACGAGACTAGGGATCCTAAATCTAGTTATCTCCAAGGTCATGAGTCCCCAAACTTTTATACAAGGAAACCTTTTCTAGCAGTGTATTTCACATTCTATCCATCACATAAATATGTTATGCAAATGATGCATGTCATATAAGCTCTATGCATGATCACAAAATTCAGATTCACGTGATTTCACATTTCACAAGTTGCATCAGTGCTAAGTTATACTTAGACTTATTTACACAATCACTTACACTTATCATTAGGGGTGTTCATGGATCGGTTTTTTCAAAAAACCAATCCAAACCGAACCGAACCGTTTTATAAAAGTGGATCGGTTAACCGATCCATTTTTTATAAAGTGGATCGGTTTGGTTTTCTTAAAATATGGATCGGTTTTTTTTAAATTGGATCGGTTCGGTGCGGTGCAGTTATCCACTTTTTACTCATATATGGATCGGTTTTTTTTAAAAACCAAACCGAACCGAACCGATCCACTTTGTAAAAATGGATCGGATAACTGAACCGGTTTTATAAAGTGGTTCGGTTCGGAATTTTTTTCAAAATGAATCGGATTTTTCAATATGGATCGGATCGGTTATGGATCGGTTATGGATCGGTTCGGATCAATTTGGATTTTTTGTACACCCCTACTTATCATACCTCACAATTTCATAAACTCACATTTCAAAAATTAATTTCATAACACCGCTTGTGGAATTTGGACGGAAGTCCCACATTGATGTGTTTTTAAATTATTGGGGACTAAATTGAAAAAAAAATAAAGTAGGACCAAATTGAAAATTTTAATTATTATAAGAGACCAAATTAGGTATTTAGCCATTTTTTTTTAATCTCAATCATTAGTTCATATAGCCTGTCAATTAAGGCTAATTTCATTAATTACACAATTATACGTATCTCAATTGCAGGCATAAGGCAATGCCCAACGTGAGGTGCCCTACACGCAGCTTGATTGAGACTACAAATCTCTGGAAGGATCATGCTGCCATGAGCATTATGTGGCTCTCATGCTCGACATGCATTTCCCCATACTCAACATGACTGTCATAGAGGTCTCTCTTTTACTTATGCGTCTGGAGGCCCCAAAGTGGCACTTGGCGTGGTATTAGTATTTTTTTTCTACATAATTTCAATTTACTCACATATTAGGTCTCACCACTTACACGAATTCATGTTAAAAAATGGTATCTATATTCTAATTAATTCATTTTTTTATACGGTTCCTAATTGAAATTGTTTCTGCAATAATTGTTATTCAATCCTAAATCTTAGGGTCATCCCAAAAAACTCATAAGCACTCATAAATTTATAAATAAGGGCAACTTATAGGTTAACAACATAATTACACGTATATAAAAACTCAAGAGACAATAGATACACATTGTAATTACAAGCAAAATTTGGGTTTAATTTTACACACATACAAACACAACCAACATGATTGGAGGTTAATCTCACTATCCAACAAATAACCCAAACCCTAGAGCGAGATTCTCACTTTTTCCTTACATTAATAAATGGTAAACTTTTGGTTTGAATATCTGAGGTCTTGTTTTGTTGCCCCTGGTTCTTCCTTTTCTTTAGATCACGAGATGCACATATTAATGAATAAAGCGAGACAATCCTAACCTACTAATGTGTTTATATAAAACACTATCCATATCTCATGCATAGCCTATTGACAAAAACTCAAATAATTATTCTTCACTATTTTAAAATAAATAAGTAAATATAATTACTATAATTTTGATGAAATACCAATCAACTTATAATTATAACTCCTCATAATTAATTAAAATATTTTATTAATTTATTTATGAAAATTAAGATATTAACTTTAATAAATTTAACCTTTAAAAAATTATAAAATAATAATTACCAAAGATAAAAAATATCTTTTAATATTTTTTTTAATCTCTTAATAATCACTCTCAACTTTCATTAATATTTGTATATTAAAAAAATACCCATTTTTATCCACTTAGTTTTTATAATTCTCTTCTATCAAATCCATCTATTTAAAAATAAAATAATATTTTTAATTATAACTTCGCACTTAATTTTTTTTATTACGTACATGAATTGAATCACTTATATGAAAGATCCACCTTGAATCCTTAATTAAAACATAAATATTGAATCACTATATATGTTTGTTTATTTATTTATTTATATTTTAATGTTTTTTCTACCTTAACTAAACATGAGAACGGTTGATCCATGTTTAAGTAAGGATAGGAAGGTTGATTCATGTTTAAACAAGGATAAGGATTTGAATCACGTTAAATTTTGGGGTTATCCCATCTTTTGAGGTGCTTCTAACCTAACGAAAAAATTAATCAGGCGGAGGATATTAAAAAAAAAAAAAAAATTAAACATGGGAACGGTTGATACGATCCCTAACAATATTGCATTGCACTTGGTTCTGGTAGAACGCACCGTTTAGTGTTTGCGTCGTGAACACAGAGCGGTCTCCAAACTGAAGACAGAGAGAGAGAGAGAGAGGCATGTTCGTCAATGGCGATTAAGCTCTCAGCATCAGAAACCCCTCTCCAAATGAATGGCCAGAGTCTCCACGCGCCCACGCTTCCCATTCCGAACCACCCTCCTCACGCGCCCCGTCACCATCACCATCGCCACCAACACTTCACCATCTTCCTCAGCCCCGGAGCCAAAACCAAGACCTTCCTTCTTCTCCCCTTTGCACTTCCAATCGCTTCTCCATAACTCATGCCGCAACGCTCGCCACCTCCTTCAAATCCAAGCCCTCCTCGTCACTTCCACCCTCTTCCGCAACCCCTTCTTCGCCCGCACCCTTCTCAGCCGCGCCTCCCACTTATGCCACGTCGCTTACACCCTCTTGATCTTTCGCCACATTAACTCCTCCGACACCTTCTGCGTCAACACAGTCATCAACGCTTACTGTAACAGCCACCTTCCGCGCCAAGCTCTTGTTTTTTACTTTCGCTCTTTGATGTCTGGCTTTTTTCCGAATAGTTACACCTACGTGCCGCTTATTGGTTCTTGTGCTAAAATGGGGTGCATTGATTCTGGGCGAGAGTGCCATGCCCAGGCCACTAAGAATGGGGTTGACTCTGTTTTGCAGGTGCAGAACTCTTTGATTCATATGTATGCTTGTTGTGGGCGTGTTCAGGTTGCTAGGGTGTTGTTTGATGGCATGTTGAGTCGGGATTTAGTTTCGTGGAACTCGATCATTGATGGGTATATGGGGGTTGGTGAGTTGAGTGTTGCGCACCAACTGTTTGATGAAATGCCTGAGAGGAATTTGGTTACTTGGAATGTTATGATTAGTGGGTATTTGAAGGGTAGGAACCCGGGTTATGCGATGAAGTTGTTTCGCGAAATGGGGAGGTTGGGGTTGAGGGGTAATGCTCGGACTATGGTATGTGTGGCTACGGCTTGTGGTCGGTCGGGGAGACTCAAGGAAGGAAGATCGGTTCACGGGAGCGTTGTTAGGATGCTTGTGAGGTCGAGTTTGATTCTTGATACGGCTTTGATTGATATGTATTGTAAGTGCAGGAGGGTGGAGGTGGCAAGGAGAGTGTTTGAGAGGATGGGAGAAAGGAATCTGGTTTCGTGGAATGCGATGATCTTGGGGCACTGCATTCGCGGGAGCCCCGAAGATGGACTGAGTTTGTTTGATGGAATGGTTGGGGTGGGGAAAATGAAAGGTGGAGTTGAGAGTGGTGAGAGTCCGAGGTTGCTCCCTGATGAAGTAACCTTCATTGGGGTCCTCTGTGCCTGTGCTAGGGCGGAGCTGTTGGCTGAGGGCAGGTCTCACTTCAAGCAAATGACTGATGTGTTTGGTGTGAAGCCAAATTATGGTCATTTTTGGTGCATGGCAAATCTTCTTGCAAATGTGGGGCTTGTTGGTGAGGCAGAAGAGTTTCTGCGGAGCATGGCAAAGTTTGATGAGGACACGTCGTGCGAGTCATTGTTATGGGCGAGTTTGCTTGGTTTATGTCGTTTCAAGAGGGATGTGTACTTGGGGGAACGGATTGCGAAGCTTCTTGTTGACATGGATCCAAAGAACCCCACTTGTTACCAGTTTCTACTGATCATTTATGCCGTGTCTGCTCAATGGGAGAATGTTTCTGGAGTGCAAAAACTGATGAAGGAAAGAAAGTTAGGGGTAACACCTGGAAGCAGTCTTGTGGACTTGAAAAATATTGTTCACAACTTCAAAGTGTCAAATAAAGGGCAAGAGGGAATTGAAGCGGTAAACTTGATGATGGATGAACTAGCTCATAGGTTCAGGTTGCCAAGTTCTGATTTAGGTTTGTCATCAGCAGGCCAGAAAGAAAGCTAGATTATTAGCGAAGATGAGGATGGCAAATAATGCAAACCCTTGAACAAGTAGAGTAAGAATTGAATTCACATTCTTTTTATAAGCTGTCAGATTTTTTGTCAGTCGAGATATCCACCCACTCAACAAACATGTAGGATCCCAACTTTATATAGATGCAAATGTGTCTTGGGGCATGCATACGGGTGCTTGCAGAAATCCCAATTTTGTATTTAGGTTTTGGATTTATGATTTAGCTTATAGTCCTGTTTAAGTTTAGCATCGCTTGTGCTAGACTCACTTTCTCTTCCCCCATGGATATTTTTACCACCCTACTATAGAAGGATTGGTCGTAGAAATGATTAGTCCTCTTGTTATTAAATGGATTACCCAGAGGATGCTAGAAATATGAATTTGTTGAAGTTTTGAAAAATTATGACAGAAACTGATATCAAGATATACAAAGTCGTCCCCATGTGTTTTTGTTTGTTAACAATTAAATTCATTTTACGCAGTTAACGCTTAGGCTTGTTTACAAAAATAAATAAATAAATGTATCTATATATCTATAAAAGAAGTAATCCATTTGGGGGCTCTCGTCATTCGTCAACACTTCAGTAAAATATTCTGACCATTTGATTTTTGATCTTTTATATTTCTATAGTTATTTCTTTAACATGTTAAATTTTAATAAATTATAAAATTCAAATTTTATTATATAATTAGATCTTAAATAGAAAATAAAAATACAAATTAATATAATATCCAATTATCCATCAAGTATTATTTTTAATTATCCATCAAGTATTATTTTTGATTTTTAGTTTTCAGTTTTCAACCTTTTGATTTAATTTGTGTGGATTTAAAGTTTTATTTTTTTTTATGCAATAAAAGACATACTTTAAAGTTTAAACACATATACAAGCTTTTCATCTGGATTTATCACACAGACACTCACACCAAACATCCGGAGACAAGAATAGGATTGGATTAAACCACCCAATCATGACTCAAGGCCACCCGAGTATGATGCATGCTTCACTTCTACAGGTGTCTTCTCTACCAGCTTTCTTAATCGCGACTAGAATTCTAACATTTGGATTTCAGAATCTGAAGCGATTTCTCCTATTACTTGTGTCTCCACTATTTTGGGCACAAATATTTTGTTTCTAGCATTGTAACAGTGAAACTATCTTCTGGACTTATTCTTCACCAGTTTCTTTATACCTACATTCCATGCTAGCCTCTTGTTTCTAATAGTTCTCTATTAGGGAATTCACAACTTTCAAATAACCTTTTCTCCTACTTCTTTCATTATTTAAAACAGTATAGTTTGAAAAGCATTGGACGATTAGTTAGCAAAGGAGAAGTGTGCCAAAGATTTCACGATACTGAATAACAGATCATTATATATATATGAAAATAACATAAAAATATATATATATATATATATATATATATATATATATATATGAGTTAATCACTTATACACTGTCAGTGTAAAGTTTTTTTATATTAGCGACCAATCATATCCTTTAATAGTGACATGTCAGTTCTTATTTAATAAAATAATAATAAAATAAGCAACTTTAAAAGATATGATTGGTTGCCAGTGTAAAAAACCTTACTGACAGTGTAGGGATGATTAACTCTCTCTCTCTCTCTCTCTATATATATATATATATATATATAGAGATGTCAAAAATACCCGCATCCGCAGGTATCTGCGGGTAAAATCCGCTACGGATAATAAATAGATAGACAATTTGGGTACCTACAAATAATGGGGATGGATAATTTTTTACCTGTTTATAAATGGGGCGGGGCGGGG